CTTGTTGTCTCGGATTCTCCAGCATCTGCAGTTCCTACTATCTCTGAGTTAGTTTAAGCCATGTGTTTTCCAAGAAGTGTCTTTGAAAAGAATATCCCAATCTCCTTTATGTGATTTTTAAAAAAAATCAAACAGTATAGATCTCTCTTCAGTGCTCCAATCTTCATGTGTTGTTGGAAATCACTCATCCAGGCAAGCAAAGAGTATTCCATCATACTTCTGACTCACTCCTTGTGGATGGTTGACAGGCACTGGGACACAGGGAATGAATTCCCAGACTCTGACTTGCTTTTGTAGATACAGTGTTTTTGCAGCTTCCCAAGTTAAGGTCCTCATTGATGGTAAACCCCCAAAATGTTGATGGTGGAGAATTCACCTACGAGAATGCCTTTGAATGCCAAGGGTAATGTTGCTTAATAGCACAAGCTGATATACATATGCATGGCTCATAGAAGAGGTTATTGAGAACTGTGTATCTATAACAGGTATTGGAGGATACAGCCGTGTCTTTATCTCCCATCGACACATGACCTTAACAATGTTTTGCAAAAGTCTGAAAACATGGAAGGAAAATATTTTCATTCCATACCATGTAGACCAGATTTGATCTTTTTTCAAAATTAATTGGTAGGGATAAAAAGATTATCGCAGACCAAGTTATGGAGAAATTAATATGGACTGTGCTTGGGTTACCAACAATATTTCTGACTGGTGTTCAGATTCCTATAGAACCTGATAACATCTAAGGAGAGGTATTAATTTCCCAGTGGCTGGTTCAAAGGATTACATGGCATGGCTTCACCTTTCATGATCAAAGGAAATAGGAGCAGGAGGAATCCATTAAGCCTGCTCCACCATAGAATAAGATCAATGCCAATCAGATGAGTCTTAGCTTCTCTTTCTTGTCTCAGTCCAATAATTTCTTTATAGCTCAAAAATATGTCCAGCACAAACTCAACTACATTGGATATAGCAGCCTACACTGCTCTATTTGGAACAGAATTTTAAAGACTAATGATATTCTGAGAGAATTAATTTATCCTCATCTCCATCTTGAACAGGATACCCCTATTTTTAAACTGTGTCCCTTAGTTCCAGATTGCCTCGCATGGGGAATCAGCCTCTTGGTATCTAATATGTGATAATTAGATTATCTCTCATTTTTCTGAACTCCAATGAGGAGAGGCCCAACATGCTCAAATTTTTCTCATATTTAACAACATATTTATCAGCTAAACCTTCTCCTATTTGCTTCCAATGTCACTGGTATTCCTCCTTATGTAAGGAAATGAGAACTATTTGCAGTCTCAGTAACACCCTGCATGTTTGTAGAATGACTTCACTAATTTTGTATTCCATTCCCCTTATAAGAAAGGCTAAAATTTTATTCCTAGGTCTGCATTATAACTTTTTTATGATTCATCCACAAGGGTACCAGATCCCCCTGTATGATTAAATTCTACAATTTATCTCCATTTAAATAATATTCTGCTTTTCTATACTTCCTGTCAAAGTGTCAACCTCACATTTTCCCATAATAGTTTCAATCTGCCAGTTTTTTGTCACTTTACTTAATCAATATGTATCCCTTTGCAGGCATTTTGCATCCTCTCACAACTAGCTTTCCTGCCTTTCTTCGCATCAACATTAAAACAAACATAGGCTAAATTCTACTTAACAGGCATTTAGTGGACTACAGAAAACTGGAACTTAGCACAACCAAAAGCCCCATAGTGCATTTACATATTACATCACTCACTGTAGACATGCAATCTTGCGTTTAAAATCCAAAGCTCTTCACAGTTCTAACAGGATTTCTTCTCCCTGATTCACCAGAATAACTTTACAGTACCCTTTTACGTCAGATCTCCTTCAGTCAATCCTTGGAACGTAATCAAATGAACTTCCTGCTTCAAAGTATTCAATTGTCTTTACCTCTTCTTTCTTGTCAGTGTCACTGGAATCAAATTATTTTAATATCTATTAAATAGTGCCTTCACTGCCAATCTTCAAATATTTTCTAAAGGCTAGCAAATGATGAGCAGAAACTAAACAAAATATCCTCACACAGTACTTGAACAAACAAATTCCATGAACAGTAAAAATAAATAGCAAATAGAAGATCCATTTAAATAATTTTAAAGAAAAATGCAGGAATATCTCATGCTCACCACAAATAGCACTTACCCATAACTTTAACCTCTTCTTGAAATGAAAACTAAACTCCAGGGGAAGAAACAATTTGCCTGTCTCAGTGATGTCCTTGACAATGTGCAGTCGTCCAGAACCATAGATGAGTGCTGCATTTAGTAATGCTGATTGCTTAGATGTGCTATCTGCTTCTTCAATAAAGCCCTTCTGCATTAATTCGGATCTCCTGACTGTGATGGTTTGCTGCAATATTAGGCTTAGAAATTATTGCATTGATCTTGATTAGGGATAGGTCATTCGGTAAAGATTCAGCTAAGTCTTAAATGAACCAAACGTACTGTGTTCCTTCGTTTGGCCATATTCCCAACCCAAGGAAAGTGACTGTGGGTTATATGGTAAATGAAGGGAAATGGTCACTTTCAAAGATAGTGATTCTAATTGGAACGGTTTAGTGTGGGACCATTTTCATGCACTAAATTAGTGCTCTGCACAGAATTTGCACTTTCACACATGAGCACATTAAGCACCAAGCTGATTCCCACATTTAAGTTAACACTGAATGGGCAACCTGTTGTGTTGTTTATTGGCATTTGAGCTCGTGTCGGGCTTGAAGAAAATGCATCTCCAATAATTTTTTAAGACAAATTACTTCACAAAAGGAAGTGCACTTTGACTGCAGAATAGGATAATCTGCCAGGGAGACTTCAGAATGGTCAGAAATAGATAGTCTGAAGGTTTTTCATTAAGATTCTTGGTGGAGGCAGTATGCATGTGGTGTTAGATGATCATAGAAACAGTACAAATGGAAGCAATTGACAATTTAACTCTGCCAGTTGTCCAACTTATCCCATTTCCATGCTCTCTCCTCTGGCAGACTATTTAGTTATGAAGCCTAAGTTTGGAATTGGCTGTGGTAGTGAGCATCACTTCTGCTTGGGAGGAGATTGGTTTTTCTCATGTAATCATGCAGCTCTCAAATCAGAAACTATGTAGGTATGAGGAGCTTGGCAAATCTTGTGGGACAGACTGGCAGGCAGGAAATTCTCCCCTCTGCTTCCAGGAGGGATCTGCACAAGAAGGATGAGTTGCACCTAAATTGGAAGGGCGCCAATATCTTTGAGGGGATGTTTACTAGTGCCACTCAGGAGGGTTTAAACTAGAGCGGCAGCGGGATGGGAACCAGAGCATGGGTCAGAATGTGAAGTGATGGATGAGGAGATAGAGGTTAAGTCAGGTCAGTCTAATTGGAAGAACAGTGAGGAGCAGGTTAATGAACATGGCAGGACTGGTGGTCTAAAGTGTATTTATTTCATTGTAGGGAGTATAACAGCCAAGGCAGATGCGTTTAGAATCTGGATTAGTAAATAGGACTATGATGTGGTAAACATTATTGAAACTTGGTCAAGAGCAGGATTGGCAGCTCAATGTTGCGGCATTTAGATATTTCAGCCATGAAACAGAGGGGTGTAATAGGGTTGATGAAGCCGTGTAATGGATTTATGAGAATGTCACAGGTGCAGTAAGTGAGGGCATTTGGAGGGCTCATCCAGCGAGGCAATATGGGTAGAACTTGAGAATAAGAAAGGTGCAATCACTTGTACTATAGGTCTCTCAATAGCCTACAGGAGATAAATTAACAGATATGTAAACAGATCATGGAAAGACGTAACAACAACAGTAGTGAGTAATTTTAACTTCCTCAACATTGACTGGGAATCTTTTAATGCCAGGGATTTAGAGGGAGCAGAATTTTGTAGGTGCATCCATAAGAGTTTCAATAAATAATATGTCGATGGTCCAACTGGGAAGGGGGTCATACTAGACCTTGTATTGGGAAATCAGCCTTTTTTAGGATATGCCTTGGATTAGAGTACATTAGCTATAAGGAGAGGTTGAACAAACTTGGATTGTTTTCACGGAAACATTGAAGGCTGATGGGTGACCTCAGACATGTCTATAAAATTAGAGGCATGGATAAGGTGGATGGTCAGCGTCTTTTTTCCAAGGGTGGAAACATTTAAATATTAGAGGGCATAGTTCTAAGTTGAGAGGGGAAAAGTTTAAAGGATATGTGCGGGTCAAGTTTTTTTTAAACACAAAATGCAGTAAGCATCTGGAAAGCCCTCCTGGGGAAATGGTAGAAGCAAATACAATAGCATCATTTAAGATGCATTTAGACAGCCACGTAAACAGACAGGGAGTAGAGGGATATGGACAATGTGCACGCAGAGGGATTAGTTTGGAATGGCATCATGGTTGGCACAGACATGGTGGGCCGAAGGGCTTACTTCTATGCTGTATTGTTTTATGTTCTTCCAGAATCAAAAGTCCTGGGACCAGGTGAAGGATACCAGTCAACTATTCTTTCCCTGTCTGCTAGGAGCATCACTCAAGTTCTTTGACTAGGTATCTACAGCTAAACTTTCCTTCCAATCTTCCCTGAGCAGCTTCCTACCTTTTCTAGAATTGTGGCCTCCTTCCCTGGACAGCTTCCCTGTTTACCTTCCACTCCCCCCGACTGACCGTCTCTCCAGGCAGCTTAGATCAAAACCCAATCTCAATCTCTGTCAAGACATGTAAAAATGATTCACTACAAGAACAAAGCAACTCTGAATTCCAGGAAGAAGATGCAGGTCTCTCCAGATGCAGGTCTCTTATATAAAATTGGGCATCTGAATGCTCATATTAGTCACTCATGCAGAAGTCATTTGGGAACAGGAATGTAATCTGGCCAGATGGCCTTGTAATGAGCATTCATGAGCTACAAATACATGCAAAAAGACTTCCTAGTGCCTCCTCTTGGAGAGTTTGACCCACCTTTAAATTTCAAGACACTTAAATACAAAAGTGCATCCCACAGTTGGGAATTTGAATTTTGACCTGAATTTTGACTCTGATTGAAGTTCCCCTGGTTATCATTTGTCCCACTTAAGAGAGCAGTTCAAGATTTTGCTCCATTTCTTTCTCTCTCTTGTGCCATTATTATTTTCCAGAATTGCTTCATGGCTTATGCCATAATATCTTTGTAGCACAAGAAGAGCTTTGCTTCAGTGTCTACAGAGATTGAAGTCATGGTACTTATATACAGTGTAAAAACTGTTCATGATTTTGAACACATTTATCAAATCTTCTCATAAACGTCTCTGATTTAAGAAGAAATTCTCCAGCTTCTCCAGTCTTAGCAGAGTCTGGTGGTGTTAATCTCTTCTGCCAGTCCTCCTCCATAAAGAGAAGATTTCTTTTGTACCACCCTAGTCACCAGAACGTCTTGCACCCTGTCAGATAACCACTACACAATCTTTCACTTCTCTGACATCTTCACCCTGTGTCTGTCTCCAAGCAGAGCAGCTTCAGAATCGGGGCATGATGTCTTTTACATGTAGCAAGAGTGCCAAAGTAATGGTCTTTCAATGGATATCCGCTGAGTGGCAAGTTCATCCAGGAACAGGTATGATGAGGATAGAATGAGGGATGAAGGATGCCACAGACATGGGATAGGTAGTTTATTCTCCGAGTTTGGTAAATTATGGCAAGAATGTCATTAGGCCTTGCAATGAAAAACCCTCCAAAAAACATTTGTCACAACTTGCACTTAGCCAAATGAGTAGGATTCAGTCCAGTGTCTTTAAGAGCTTTGAAAATAAATTTTAAATATCCATCATGTGAGATTGGAGTTTGGGGGGGTGCGGGTGAAGGTTGAAAGTGGGAGATTAGAGTCAATAATGAGGAGAAATAAAGCTGAACGTGAAGACCCAGAAAAAATTCTGCTGACATGTGAGGCAATCTGGAAAGTAACAGACATATTGTGCACTATTTTCCATTCATTGATTTCATAGATCAATCTTACCAGTTTCTCATCATATTCTGTAATCTCTTCTTTTCCCAGAAGATGTATTCAATTGTCTCTTGATCCACTTATAATCTCTGCCTCAGTAGCCTCGCTGAGGAATTTGTTTCACAACACCCTTTAGGTGAAGGGTAGAACTGTTGGAAATTTGTCCATAAAGAAGAAAAATTGAAAAAAAACAGCCTGAACTTCAAAGCATACAAGTTGTGAACTAACATAGTTCTTATTAAATAATAAATGACCCAGTTAATAAATCTTGTGGAGATAATCTTGAATGAAACAAAGGTTTTAGTTTAGCAGAAAGCATAACAAACAAAAAAAATCAAGAAATGTGTGATTCAACATTGTTTAAATTTGTACCAATATTCAAAATATCTTGTTTGACAGAATAACTATGTTTTGTAATTTTCTTCAAATCTAACTTTCCAGACATTGCTGGGAAAATAATAGTGAGTTCATGGTACATGACAATTGTATTTAAAATAAAAAGCAATGTGTGGCAAGGGAGAGATGTGGTAAAAATTGTGGGTCACAATAAATTGGTTGACCATTTATAGCACTCCACTATTTGCCTCAGAAAAGATTGGAACTTGCCGCTAGCTTCTCTATGAGTTTCAAGAAGTTGTTGTATTTGCATCATAAACACAATTAAACTCATTGTGGAACGTTAGGGCTGCTATTTTGTGTCATCAGAATTCTTTTAATGAAATTGTTTATGGTACTTATGAGATGCCCAGTTTTGGAGATAAGATAGGGGATAAATTAAATTGAAAACTCATTCCTGGAGGATGTAAATTGTTCCTGGAGGTTTTTCACATCTTATAATTATTGTCCTTTCTTTTCCTTTCTGTTTCTTCTTTTTTGCCTCTCAGAATATATTATTTTTTAACTGTTACTTTATTTCTCTTTCTGTCTCTAGGTTGAATCACAATATTTCCTTCTCCATTTGAAAGCCATATCCAACAGATGCTGGACAAGAAAAACCAAAAGAACTGTGGATGCTGGAAATCTGAAACAAAAAACTGAAATATCTGGAAAAGTTCAGCAGCTCTGGCAGCATCTGTGGAGAGAAATCAGAGTTAACATTTTGGGCCCAGTGACCCTTCTTCAGATGCTAGAAATCTGCAAGAGAAATAGGACATGCTTAAATACTCAATTTAGGCAACATTGAAGAAGTGAAAGGTTATCAACTGGAAATGTAAGTGTTCTTTTTATCCACAATGCTGCCTGACCTATTGAGTATTTACAGCGAGACAACAAGGTGCAGGGCTGGATGAACACAGCAGGCCAAGCAGCATCATAGGAGCAGAAAGGCTGACGTTTCGGTCCTAGACCCTTCATCAGAAAAGGGGGAGGGGAAGGGGGTTCTGAAATAAATAGGGAGAGAGTGGGAGGCGGATAGAAGATGGATAGAGGAGAGGATAGGAGTAGGAACTGCAGATTTACAGCATTTATTTTTGTATCCTTTCTATTGTTTGCTCTGTTTCTTTCTTTATATTTAAATTTCCATGGTTAAGGAAATAGACCATTTATTTTGCCATTTGCCAAGTTCCCAGAGACCCTTCTGGTACTCCTGCACTCTTATCAGATCACTCCTCCAGCAATTTTCACTAAAAATGTAATTGGAGTTGGAGGCTGAGAGGAAAAAAAGGATTTCACTCACGGAACTCATCATCAACCACCCTGCTGAAGATTTCGGATGTATGCATGTTTCTTGAATCTAATAATGGAGCAGAAGCACTGTAAAAGGCTAAACTTTATGACAAATCTCTTTACAAAAAAGGTCTGCACCTATTTTTTTCTGCAATTCTTCCTGCTAATGATATTGCATTCAAAGAAATTGCAGCTTTCAAAATTGCAGAAATTTCATGAAATAAGACATTATGAGTCCAGTTTATTTAATATCAAGAAACAAATTTCACATAGCACTTTTCAAATGGATTTTTTTGTGAAGGATCTATTATTATAGAAGTCCCAAATTCTCTTGGAAAGGTCTTTGAGTGGCGAGGTAACCGTGTCGATAAAGCTTTTCTTCCTAAACTCTTGACCTTCTGATATAGCACAGTTAGATTTTTCCAATTATATCCTTCAAGATGGATAACACAATGGGGGTGAAAGAGGCAAGGACTTCAGAGATTAATGTAGGGAAAAACAGCAAACAGTGAACTAACAGAGACTAATCACACAAATAACTGTGTGAGACAGTAGTGAATATAGAATTAGCTGGATATGTTTTGCAGTTCAAAAAGTAATATTATGGAGAAATAATCTGTCTACTACAATAGACGTGGTTACAGTAATGCAATACAAATCCCTTAAACTTGCACCCAAATCTAAATATCTAACTCTGAAAGTCAGGTGGCAATTCTGCATACTTCTGCTGTAACTTTGCTCGGGAGTACAATCCAATGTCTTTAGAGACTGTGTTAAAATCCAGATAAAATAATTCCAGCCTTGGGGGCAATAAATCTTAGTTAGTCTATAGGAGGCGCAATCACTGTCACAAATAGTACCATTGGCCATAGGAGAAAAGCCTACATTGTAAAGTTGAGGCTATTGCGATCAATAAAATAAGATTTCACTGAGGAAGCCCACATTCCACACTAAACACCTGTCCTCGTTTCTTAAGTTTATTTTATATACTGGGTGATCTAGATCTGTCCCTAGTGACAGGGGTATCTACCAATTGCCAACTAATTTTAGTGCAGATAGTTTGCAACAGGTATCTCAGTGGAAGGATAGGATTGCTATAAATTTCCAGTGACTGTAAGTAGGCTCACTGCCTGTGTGCTGAAGATTTGGGAAACTTCAATTCTACACCGTTAACTGAATAGCTTATGAATATGAAGCATTTCATTTCAATACTTCTATAAACATGAACACTTTTTTAAAAAAAAAAGTAATAGCATTCTAATGGGAACATTCTGTGGTGAGGAAAATTTTCACTTTATCTAATCATTTTTAGCTAAACAAACAAATAAAATATTGCAGCAATGAAAAGATGCCTAACCAAGCAGTCTTCTTGAATGAGTATTCACATTAATGGTTGAAAACAGTGACAAGACTTATTGTAATTATCCGAGCACTCGGCATTAGAAATGACAGTTCTATTATATTTATTTATTGTATTATTTTATTGTAAAGAATCATAAAATGCATTCTGCAGCATATTTTCCTTATGCATAACACTGTTTTCATGAAATGACTTCAATGACTATTTACCAAGTTGGTATACTTCCTTGCATTACTACGAGCAAAAGCCTGAACCTTTTAGAGTTTGTAGAACTCAAGGATGCTGAAATTTCCTCATCCACGATTTCAAAACAAAATTTGTCATGAGTGCTGAGCAGAATTGCTTCTTTATTTGAATTGATTAAACATTACCAGAATGAGGAATTTCATCTTAATTATTCCTACAAATGCTGAAGAAATGCATGGTAAGATTTTGCTGTTTGACCTTGAACAGTACTGGCAAATGGTTTGGAGAACAAATTAACAACATGAGTTCCTTGTTATAACCAAAGAGTAGGTTAGAAATAGTTTCCAGACAGGTGGGGGTACTGGGGTGGGGGTGTGGAGAAGAGCAATGTGGATAGGGATGAAAATGGCACTGGATCAAAGCTTCATCATTTGCATCAGCTGACTGGTGTACTAATGAGGCCCCTACTTCTATCAGACAGATGCTCAGGCTTTGTCCAACACCATCCAAGAGTTAGGATGAGTAGATGGTTACTGTTAAGTGTTAAGACTAACAAGCTTTGGCCCAATTACTTGTCTATTTTTAGGTGTTACCAGTGCAATGAAAGAAAAAAAAATCTTCTTCTAACCCCCAAACTATCACGAATAATGAAAATACTACACAACATGTTTTCCTCCATTTTGAAGGCATGGGATATAGCTGAAGTGTAAATCTTCAGGGAGTGGTCACATTTCAATACCTTGCCAAAATGGTGATTCATGTGAGAGATTTGTCTATAATCAGTGAATTGGCTTTCAATGATAAGAGTGCTACAGCCAAGCAATTCCTACTCAACTAACACCCACATGTTTTCACTTCCAGAAGGAGTTATAATTCAGTCACAAGGCCAATTCACACCATTCCTGCTGACCACATTTGAAATTAGCTAATTAAAAACAGATTTGATAATTTATCTGAATGGATTACTGTTCCATAAGGCAGAGATATTATTTATTGAGCAAACACGGAAACTATAGACTGATAGCTTGAAAGATTATTGCATAGCTAAGACTTTGTCCGTTATAAAGAGAGTTTGCTTCTGATCGAAAACAGAATTTGCTGGAAAAGCTCAGCAGATCTGGCAGCATCTGTGAAGAAAAAATCAGAGTTAACGCTTCAGGTCCGGTGACCCTTCCTCAGAGCAGATGCTGCCAGACCTGCTGAGCTTTTCCAGCAATTTCTGTTTTTGTTCCTGATTTACAGCATCCGCAGTCCTTTCAGTTTTTGTTTCTGATCAACTTGCATTGGAGAGTCACTAATATTCAGTGTTTCTGTTACATTGTCTAAGAAAGTCCTTGAGGGAATGCAGTTTAAATGAAGACCTTTAAATTTCATGTGACACTGTCCCTGGGCTTTATTACTTGTTGCGTTTATTATAGGATCTCTTAAGAAGTCAAAGGCCCAGATTTGCAACTGTTAAAATGAGGAGACAAATTGAATTCATTACAGTAAATGAGGCAGAAGTGAACTTCACCATGCAAATTTCCCACCATTGTTGACTAGGATCATTAGGGATAATTTCCTCCTATGTGATTACCAAAATGATAAACTGATCTGTAAAGTATAAGCTCAGAATTTAACACAGTGAGGAAATCAACCCAAGGTGAGTTGGAATGATTGCTGTACTGGCAATCCATTTCTGGGATGATTATGGCTTTTTTTATCATCTGCTGAGTTGATTGCCAATAAATCTCTCTAAGAAAGCCATAGCTTTTGGTGTACTGGTGGATTTATTTTCTCATCTGTCTACCAATCACACATTGCAGTATCTGTACCATAAAGCAGATCATTCTGATTGCTTGCAAATAGAGTGGAGCAGTTTGTCAGGCAACAGACTTGTAGGCCTTTTAAATTGA